AAAAAGGGGCTTCTGGTTTTAGTCTCTAGAGCAGACTGTGGCTCTTTAGCAAAGGAAAAACAAAAAAATGCTGCCCAGCAGAGAAAGGGCTGGTGATGCCAAGGAGCCCAGAGGAAAGAGTGGGAGGGTCTAAAAACATCTACATTTCAGTACATTAGCTAACACCACAGCATGGAAGGGACTGGTGGGGTTCTTCATAAGGACCAGCACCTTCTGTGCTTCACTCTCAGGGGCCTTCATGGGACAAGCAACTTCAGGCCTCTCTTTGAGGAAGGCCCTTTTGGTGTGAGGCTGAAGCTGTCCCCTGGGCAGTTAAAAAAATGGTTATTGTGGTAGGAAATGGATTTGGCCGCGGCAATGCTGCATCTGCCAGTGTGAAATCTTGGCTATGGGGCCTGATGGGGGCTCGCATTGTTGGAATTGGCTGGTGGGTAATCGATTCTGGCCCCCCGCCATCTTGAATTGGATATAGTCTTTTTATATAGTATTATTTTTTAGCTAAGTTAATATGGATATTTATATTTTTACTGTTTGCAATGTTCGATTTGAACTGTGAGCTGCCCAGCGTCACCCTCTGGGGGAGATGGGCAGCATATCAATTTAATAAATAGATAAATAAATAATAAATATTTGTGGCCACCATTCATTCTAAACGTGGACTGATCTTTAAACCGCACGTGCCGTCCTTCGAAATCAAGTTTTCTCAGGGTGGCTAATGGATTTGGTGACCCCACACAGCACAGGGAAGCTGTTTGCTTCTGATGGCCCCAAGTAACAGCCTTGGGGATGGGTGTCTAGATGAAGGCAGAAATTGCTGTCTGAACAGTGCAGCAGGTATTAGCTTTAGAGGGGTGGAGGGAGGATGAGAGGGGCATTTGGACTGGTTTATGAAGCAGAAGGTCTTGGCATAAGTGCTGTCTGATCAAAAGAGGAAAAACACCCAGTCGTATGTGAACACCCTCTTCCAAGGTTGGAAGGTTAGAAATTGGAGTTGTTGGGTTATCTAAAAGGTCTTATGAATTACCTGCTGCCAAAAGTATCCATGCAATTGGGGCTGAAATGGAAGTACTGGGGATTGATGGCTTCCCCTAGCAACTGCTTAGGTTTCCAAGGCAGTGGGGGAACCAGCTTTATTAAGGACAGCTGCAACAGATGGAAATCAATAGGCAAAGCATGCCAGCCAAACTTCCACTATTGATTTACGCCTGTAAGTTAGCCCTAGGAGGCACATAGCCTCTGTTGGTAGAAAGTTAATAGGAAGAACAACATTACAAGCCAAGAACCCTGGAGTTAAATTATTTGTGGAATGGAAGTTGTAGGGTATCCCAAGCATTTTAAGAACCAAAGATCAATAACTCAAAGCCATGTTTTCCGGCACTTATTTCTTCCCTATCTTTATGAAGGTTTCTTTCTTTCTTTCTTTCTTTCTTTCTTCCTTCCTTTCCCTCCTTCCTTCCTTCCTTCCTTTTCTTTCTTTCTTTCCATTTTACCTCCCCAAGATAACAATAAGATTTATTGCACTGAATTTTAAACCAAATCAATTCCATCTGCTTTATTTAAGGTTCTAAAAATAGCAGGGGCCAAGCTACCACCTTTGTTTAAATAATGGGCTTATCGACATTCACTGATGTCCATTATGTGCCTTAATGTCGCAATATTCAATAGCTTTGTGCAGTTCAACTCCCTTGTTTTCAATAATTGCTTTGTGGGTGGAAGCGATTTTCCTGTTGCTGTCTTAAGTGGGCCTCGGTCTACTGCACTTAGCTGACAACACCCAGAAGCAGGCAACACACACAGACAGAAATGTGTAAAGGCGGGGACGCCAAATTATCCATTCTGCACCATGAGAAAGGTGCAGCTATTTTGTCCTCATTAGCTTATTCAGAGCCAGCATCAAGGGACATCAGCATCAGGACCACTCCCAGCAACACAGGCTCTCCTCTTTTTGCTGTTGCTCTATTTACTTGCTTCCCTAAGAATTAGGAGAAGAACCTTCATCCTTCACTTACTTTGCCCTCTCTTGCTGGAGGGCCAAGAGACAGAGGTCAAGCCCTTCCAAATTTTTAAATCAGCCCTGGATTGATTTATCGCTTCTAACTGTTGCTTTTTCCAAGAGACTAACAGGCAACATCCTCCAATGGGTCTATCTACTAGCTAGGCGGTGACCACACATTTAATATAATTTGTAGCTTCGCCCCCAAAGAAAAAGTTCAGAATTCATCTGGCTAGCAATAGCTAGCAGATATTGTACCACATAAGCAACAATAGTTGGATCTGATGTACCTTGTTGTTATTTGTTTTCATTGAGCTAATTGGTCAATGTAATTGTTTCTAATGAATAAAACAAATAAATATTTTTCAGGCTTAATTAGGCTTTCAAAGGATTGCTGATCTGTCTTTTTTCAATTATCGTTGAAAGCTGCAAATGTTCCACACTGCCCTACATCTCTTCCTCATTTCTGCTCAGCAATACATTGTAAAACAATGTGGAGTTACGTATTACTCTGTGGATTTCTCTGTTCCTCTCCCCACCAGATGCAGCCAACGAGCCAGAACAAGGATGGGGAAGGTCAGAATTAATTGAACTCTTGACCCTTCCTCTATTTCACATTTGCCCTTTCTTGTATGTAGGGCTCCAATTATGGATTGCAGAAGGTACAGGAGAAGGTGAATGCTTTGACTGTAAAGGGCTAATGTAAAATCTCAGGTCACCATTATATTAATTAATTAAGAATTAAAATGCAGGTTATCAACCTTTGCTTCTTCAAGATGAATGCTGTCTTAGATAGATATCTAGAACAGCATTTATGAAAGACATGTGGTAGCATATTGTCACTCCCTAGCAGGAGTGCTCATGTTCAACGTTCCACACAGCAAGCTCTCCTCTAGGATATCACACACATAAACACATACAGAACTTCCTATTTTTTTCTTTTCCAGTGGATACTTGGTGTTCTATGACTATTAAGCATGCATGCTCCATGGCTGAGCACTGGTTGCTGATGTTTCTAGAAGGACGTAGATGTCTCACGTAGGCTTTGTTTTATTTGTTTTTGTAGGTAGGTCTGAAAATCTCAAGGTTCTTCCAATTCTTGTTTCCCAGTAGAGCCAATGCATGGATTTCACAAAGTTGTCTGGTCAGCAGTTAAGAGTCCTTTAGGAATTATGCTTTCTCACTTCAGGCCTGAGGATGGACTTTGGGACTAGGACCACAGCAGGTCTTCATGGAGGGCCAGCGCAAGACTCGGTAGAGGAAGACAGATCGTAGGGCAAGTCCTAAGTCTTTCTTCCTCAAAGCATAGACCAGTGGGTTGGCCAAAGAATTCAGATGCGAGAGCAACACCGCCAGGTGTTCCAGTGACTCATACTGTTCACAGCTAGGACACAGGAGCTGGACACAGTAGATCATATGCAGTGGCATCCAGCAAACGAAGAAGACACCCACCAGGAGCAGAAGGGTACAGGCCATCTGCATTTCCCTTTTCTTGGCTGGCCAAAGAGGCTGTGACCGGAAATGTTCTCGGACTACCCGAAAGATGTCAGCATAGATACCCAGCATGGCTGCCAAGGGCAACAAAGTGCAGGTAAAGAAAATGAAGTAAACCAGGTACTCAGGACTAAAGATGGAGGTGAAAGAACAGCGACCCAAGTGTTCAATTTGGCTGTCGCTGTAGCTCAGGTTCTCTTGATCTTGATAGGCTTCAGAGAGAAAGTGTCCAGAAGGTTTATCTGGGATTACAAGAACAAAGACTGCTCTCTCTGAGTGGAAGCTGATAGCCATGGTCTCATTACCGGTCTCCCCATATTGCTGAAAGCGATTCCATCCCATCATTGGGGAGAGGCCGATTAACAGTGACAGCAGCCAGCAGAAGACCACGATGATCACCACCCAGCGCTTTTTCACATGTGTGGTGTAGCTGTCCAATGAAAGAATTTCATTAGTATCTTTGGATGGGCAGAAACCAAACGTAGAACTGCTCAGTCCCTGGGAGTTGGGTGGCATGTAAACTTAATTAATTACATAATAATAATAATAATAGATATAATTGTGGCTCAAAAAAGCATACACCAAGAAGCCTCATGTACAGTCTTTCAAATATAGTTGAGCTGAACCTTCTTCTACCATGACTGCCAATAACATCTTTGGGGTTTCATGGAACATTTCCTGTTGAAATAGCTGGGGCATAATTGAGGGACAAGTGTTAGATCTATTGGGACATTGAGAATAATTTTCAGCGGTACCTTAATTTTATTCCACTGCGATCCTAAATAGGCATTTGTTCCTAACTCTATAAATCACTTTGAACTGTGGTGCTGGAGAAGACTCTTAAGAGTCCCCTGGACTGCTAGGAGGTCAAACCAGTCAATCTTAAAGGAAATC